TCCTGCAAAGAAGCAATATTGGTCAAGTAAGGAAATACTAAATGTGTTTATTTATGTGAGTGGTTATGTAATGCATAGGATTTTTTCCCTTTTACAATAAAGATACACATACACAATGTCTTGTATGATTAAAAAGGCAATTGTATACATATCTACAGAGAAGTGATCCCCTTGTGAGAATTTATTCCTAAATAAATATATGTTGCAGCCTAAATTTATGTCCTTGTGTGACCCACTTTTAATACAAATAAGTAGATTTCTTAGGTAGACACACATGTAATCCTTTTCAAATGATTAGTTAATTCGCTTTGAAGATCTAACCATGGGTGCTTGTAAACAAAGTGTTATCCTGAACAAAACTTAAAACAGTTTTTTTGTTTTCTGCTTTGTAAGTTTGTATGCCCTTCTGTATCCAATACTGGACGTTTTCTGGTATACCCTAAAATCATACATTTTTCAGAAGGAATTGCCTCAGGATTTCCCCTAACATTTTCCCATTAATATTTATTAAAGCATCTGTATGCATATCTCTCTTGAATGTTGTAATCTGTCTACAATTACATCTACCCCAAAATCCTTATTTTGGGAATTGGAACATGCACTACAATTTGGTATCTATTTATTGAAAGGTGGGGTTGGGGTTTGGGGGGGGATATTTATATTCTCACACTCAGGATAAAATTTTAAATCTTTTTATGGCAGTCACAGCAATGTAACATACCTGCTTATCATTTTTAAACAGAATCGAGCACAGTGTGCCACAGAACTGCTGCAAGAGTTGAATAATGATGTCTCTGGAAATTTTGTGGAAGAGGTTTGCATTAAACATTTTTACACATGTTATACATATGTGCTAACATGTCACAAATGTATGTCAGCTATTACTACCATAATATCAAATCTTGCTCTTGTGTAGACTCATTTCAAAATAGTATCCTTTTTAAGAGGCATATGATTTCATACCCTAAGCAACATGAATTTATTCCTGGGACAGTCCTCTTTTGCAGTGGTTACTATGTTGATACAAATCCATATTAATTCTAATGTGAATTTAATAATAGCCAAGGTAGAATAGTCTTGATTGAGGAGGCTTATCTGACCAATGTAGGTAAGGTATGCCAACTCTGATGGACAGAACTGAACTGTCTATAGACGTACCATTCCAAAGGGTAAAATATTTGAGTTTAGATTATTGTACTGATTGCAGTTTTATATATATATTCCCCACTATAAACATACATATTTTATGGAAAGTACATTGACTGGGTCAAATCTTTTTTAAACCACATAAACAATAGTAATACAAATAAATATGTATACTTCAAATTTTCCAACTTCAACAATATTGTCTCTTTCCATAATCCTTTATCATTTTTCCAATAGTTCATTTAAACCTAAATAGCATTTCAATGTGCTCTATATTTATTATTCCCTGCTAAGTAATATCATTTGATATTTTAAAAATTACTCCTTATTCCACCATAACTTCAATGTTCCAAATGTATATTTAATCAATCTCCGGAATGTATCTCAAAATCCCCGTAACTTCTAATCTTACTATTTTAAACTCACAGTATATTTTAACAATTATTAATGTTATTAATGCAATTAAATTACCTAATCCTAAATTCCCACCTACTAATCTTCACTCATTGGGGTTACAACAAATATATATTTTCTATTAATATACATATACATACATATACATATACATATACATATACATATACATATACATATACATATACATATACATATACATATACATATANTTCTTGTTCTACCCTCAGGTGCCTTGGAAAATAATTTGACTCCCTCTTCTTTGTGGCAACCCCTGAGATATTCTATTATATCCCTATTCCATTCCTATTCGATTTCTATTCCATTCCATTCCTAGTCTGTTCTATTATATATTCTATTCTATACTGTTCTATCTTTTATTCTATTCCATTCCTATTCCATTCCTATTCCATTCGATTCCTAGTCTGTTCTATTATATTTTCTATTCTATTCTGTTCTATTCTTCTAATACTCAACTCAAGACATGAAGATGCTCTCAAGCAGCCTTTACATACTACCCTGCCCCAATTGCAAGCTGCTGACCACTGTCCTCTTCTGATCTCAGTTTCCTACTTTCCCAATATTGCCTGGCCCTCTTCCTCCCGAACCTAAGAAGGTTTAGAGCCTTTTCCCGCAACAACGGATCTTGAGAAGCTAAACCTGCTTAGGACCGCGCACGGAGGATGCAGACAGCCACCCACCTACCCCCGGCTGAGTCGCAAGCCTGCAACCGCTTACGACGTTCCTCCTATAGCCCTGCCTCCGGGGAGCATCTCCGGGGAGACGCATTACAGTGATTCCTCCTGCTAGCCCGTTCTGGCCTCACCCATCTTTTGCAATGTCAAAGCTCTCTACGCAGAGCGCGCATCCCATCGCCTTTACATCAACAAGGGCATTCCCAGGGAGCGGGGGTGGGATTCCGCGCAGGCGCAGAAACGGCGCCCTCGGTCGCCCTCTCCGGCGGCGCGAGGAAGTGCAGGGAGGCCCAGCGGCGGAGTGGAGTCATGGCGTCGGGGCGAACGGCGGGGCGGCTCAGCCTGAAGGAGCAGCGCTACGACCGGCAGCTGAGGCGAGGAAGAGCCGGAGGGGTCCGGCTGCGGGCCGCGGGGGAAGGAGGGCTCTCTGAGCTTCGGGTCGCAGGGCGGAGGGTCAGCGTATCCATTGGGGGGCCCCGGGGTTTGCAACCTCCGCAGCTGCTTTTGGTCCCCGCTTCTCTCGTGCAAATCCCTTCGCCTCTTCTTCCTCCTCCTCTTCTTCCTCCTCTCCATCCGGAGCCTCCTGGCCAGGGACGGCTACTGTTCCTCGGGCTCCCGGTTGCCCGGATCCTTCGGATGGAGGATGGCCATTCATGGTCCTGCCTCTCTTGGCTCCTTATTTCCGGAATCCTTGTTTATTTATTTGTTTATCCTTCGGCCCCAGGGATAAGAATTTAGGGTGCATGCTTACACATTTGCATATCTAGTTGTATGTGCATGTTTTAACCATGCACCCATATGCACATGTTACATATGCACATGTCTTATATGTATGTGCATGTCTAGAGGTGTCTATATGTGGTATATAAAATATATATTTATATATACTGTATAAGACTATTACGTATGTGGGTATATGTAGAGTATTATATTTGTGTGTGTGTGTAATGTATTTCCATTTCAAATAAATTTCATTCGAATATCTCATTGCAGACATACAATCTATGTCTCTGTCTATCCATCCATCTATCTATAAATATAATATAGGATAGGATAGAATAGAATAGAATAGATAATGGAATGGAATAGAATAGAATGAAATAGAATAGTATAGGGAATGGAAGAGAAGAATGGAATAGAATAGAATAGAATAGATAATGGAATGGAATAGAATTCTTTACTGGCCAAGTGTGGACACACGAGGAATTTGTCTTTGGTGTATATGCACTCAGTGTACATAGGAGAATAAAATATATTCATCAAGAATAAAAGATACAACGCTTAGTGATAGTCAAGGTTACTAATAAGCTATCAAATCGTACTAGGAAACAAATGGGAATAATGCAGTGTGTGTATACACAAACACACAATGAAATCCTCCTTTCAGGAAACCTAGGAGAAGACAGCAATAAATATTTTGAGCGACTGATTGTTTTATGTCTGTTTTGCTTTTGGTTCATTTATTTTATGCTTCTGTTTTACTGCCTACAGACTGCCTTTCAATCCATTTTTTTCTCTCCCTTTTGGAGTCGGAAATATTTTAAATTTTAAAGCAACAATCGGTAATGTATATCTATGGAGATTCTCAGTCATCCAGGTCATGGTTGCCCCAAAGGTGCTTTGTCAAGAGGCCACTGGACTTTCTTGGGGTCAGAGCTGAAGAAGCTTATTGGATGAGAAGCGAAATGTCTTCAAAGAAAAACCAGAAAGTCCAATTGCCTCTTGAAAAATAAAAGCGCCTTTGGGACATTGCTATTTTCTTTGTCAAGTTCTTTGTCTTGACAGTCATATGTTTTGATGTTGCAGGCTATGGGGTGATCATGGACAAGAGGCTTTAGAATCTGCTCACGTTTGTGTGATAACTGCAACAGCCACCGGAACAGAAATACTCAAAAACCTAGTTCTACCAGGTATAAATGACTTTTAAAAACTGTAATTGGTCCCCAGTAAATTTGTAGTTCAATCTGATCATTGGTTTGGTTTGTTCTTTAAGGTATTGGATCTTTTACAATCATAGATGGGAATCCAGTCACTGGGGAAGATGTTGGAAACAGGTAATGCGTTTTCTACAAATATTTGGTAATATTCCGGTGAATATTCCTCTTATGGTCTAAATAATGGCATCATACAAAAGCATAATGATTTGTTTCAGTAGATAAAATACTTACGAACTTAAAGCTTCATTTTAATGTTTGATTAAAAACCACTAATGCTGACTTTTACCAATTATTTCACTACATTCCAATGAATGTTTGTGTAAAATCAATAGTACATTTGTTTTTGTTTTGAGATTAGCCAATTGTGCCGCAATGTTTATGGCAAGAATTTCATTTATTTTTAATTGAAGTATATAAATATCCAATGGGTTTTTTTTGTCCCATTTGCAATGGTGGATGGAAGATTTTTAAAAATACTTGTTACTCCATGAACTACAGTTAGATTGTCTGCCATTTTTAATACTTCCATATTGTTTATCTGGATAGAAAACTGATAGATAGTGTTCTCTGTGTCTAAGTCTTTCTGTCTCACTGTTTTATGGTTGGTAAAAGCATAATTTCAAGTCAATTTCAAACTTGGTGGGAATATGGAACAAAAATATGTGAAATACTTTATTGCTGCTATAAATATAGTTTACATTGATAGGTAACCCTTGCTACTTACTGATTTTGATCATATTATATGGCCGTGTTGAAGCTTAGTCAATATTCACATGCCATTGTTCAACCTCATTCCTTGTGACCATTTTTATAGCATGGTAAAATCAACTGAGATATTAAAATGTAAATCTTTAAATAAAAGAGATCTGTATAGATCAGTGGTAGTCAACCTGGTCCCTACCACCCACTAGTGGGCATTCCAGCTTTCATGGTGG